ATATCCAGAAAACAGCAAAGTTCTGTTGCTGTTGTGGTACCTAGCACCATTTTTTCTATTAGCCGCTTAGTCATCATCTGGAAAGAGAACATTCTAGGGTAATATCATTAAATGTAGCTCTGATAAAGCACAGTCCCTACTATGTATCATAAAGCAGGTACTAGATATTTTACATTCATAGAGGTATGATACAGTACTGTCCTACATCAATAATACTAGATTCAGTTTTGGTTTGAAATTTACTTTGTCTGCAAATAAGATTGCTACCCCTGTTTTTTTCTGGGCTCCTGTCACATGGAGAATTGTTTTCTATCTTTTCACTTTCAGTCTATGGGCTTCTTTTTGCACTAGGTGTGTTTCTTGTATACAACATATTGTTGGATTTTGCTTCTTATTCCATTTTGCCAGTCTATTTCTCTTGATTGGTGAGTTGAGGCCATTGACATTGCTGGTTATAACTGATATGTACTGACTTATTATTGACATGTTATTGGCCTTTTGTTGACTCTTTTTACTTTTTCACCTTCTCCTTTTAATTTCTTGCCTTGCCTATTTGATTTGCTCTGTTGGGCCTCATGGTGTTGTTGCCTTCATTGTCTTTTTCTAGGATCTTGTTTAGAATTGCTTGTAGTGCTGGTTTGGTATTCATGTAGTTTCTCAGGTGTTCTTTGTCGTGGAAGTGTCTTATTTCCCCATCCATTTTGAAAGAGAGTTTTGCTGGATACATCAGTCTAGGTTGGAGGTTGTTCTCTTTTAGTACTTGAAATATCTCATTCCAGGCTCTCCTTGCCCCAAGGGTTTGTGTTGAAAAGTCTGCTGTGATTCTGATGGGCTTTCCTTTGTATGTGATTTGTTTCTTTTCTCTTACTGCTTGTAGTATTTTGTTCTTCTGTTGGGTTTCTGGGATCTTGATTATTATATGTCTAGGTGTAGATTTTTTTTGATTGTAGCTAGTTGGGGTCCTATATGCCTCAGTTATCTGAATGTCAAATTCTTCCCCTCTGTTTGGGAAGTTTTCTGTCATTAATTCTGCAAACAGCTTTTTTAAGTCATTTGTATTTTCTCCTGCTACTTCATGTATTCCTATCAGTCTTATGTTATTCTTCTTTGCATCATCTAGGAGTTGTTGGATCGATTTCTCATGATCTCTTACTGTTTTTAAGAGACCTCTCTTTTCATGGTCACTGACTGCAATCTTATCTTCTATATCTGAGAGCCTATCTTCGCATTCTTTTATTCTGTTGCGTACACTTTCAATAGAGTGTTTAATCTCCTGGATATCTGTTTGAATCTGTTTTATGGATTCCATTTCTTTCCTATGTTGGGCGTTTATTTTTTCCATTTCTTTCTTATGCTGGGCCTTCAGGGCTTCTATCATGGTCCTGAGCTCATCCATTTTTTTGTCAGTTTCTGCTCTAGAGTCTCGAATCACGACTTCCATTTTGCTCACTATCTCTATGGTTATCTGGGAAATTATTTCTGTTTTGAATTTTTCTAGAGCCTGATTGATCTGTTTTGTTACTTCCTGTGCTTTGAGTTCAGGGTGTCCTGGTGGTTCACTATCGGCCTTTTCATCCTCATTTGCCCTACTGTTTGCCATTGGTGAACTGGAAGTCTGTCCTTGTGTCTTGCTTAAGTGTTTTCTCATTTTAATTTTTGTTGTCGGACTGTCCTTGGTTTAATTTCTGGATTATCACCCAAATCTTCCTGATATAGTTGCACCCTAGCTTCTGTGTCTCTAACGACCCAAAGACATTCTCATCTTCATAACATCAGAGAAAACAGCTCATCAAATCAACGGCAATGCTTTACCCCAACTGATACAATCAGCAACACATTAAGATCAAGCACAACTTGGACTCTGACCAC